ATGCCACTACTATCTCTGTCAAGTCTATGCACCTACAGAACACATATAAAAAGTAACCTAAAAAATTCTGCAAAATTTGCATAAGTACCTATATTACTCAATCATTTACATTATCCAGCATGAACTTTTGACACCCAGAAAAATCAACAAAATGAGAAAACCCTGGACCAGAAGCTTAAGATACAGCGTAAAATTGATTATATTTACAGTGGCATCCTATAATCTGGGAAAATGTTTCTCAAAAACAAAACTGGGCGACCTAAAACAGAACTCCTATCAAAATTTTAAGAGTAAGATTAATTTTTCCAGCTTCTGAAAAAATAAATCACCATTAAGGTCCAAATCAACCATGAAAGCAACATGCTATTATTTTGAAGATTCAATCATATGGCTGCTGAACAACTAAATACATTGTTGATAGCTTTACCATGACCTCATAGATCAACGAGTATACTACTGTTGCATTTTTTAGCACGTTTCAGAGTGGGCAGAGGCATACATTGTTGCATCTCAGAGAAAGTGGGAAAAAGAATCAAAGCTTTCTTATATTCTTATTTATAATGTGAATTGTTTATACTTGAGTCACTGGGAAACTCACCAGCCGTGGCGGCTCTGAGTAATCATAAGTTAAATAGGCAGCTGCCAACTCATCAAAACTTCTTTTAATGCCAATGCCACCCTGTTTCAACATAAATTTCAGACAAATTATAATTATGACCACCAAAATAAAGTTCAGATAAAAAAAAAAAAGAGACCAATATTTGTTAGCTTACCTGAACAGGCATCCCAGGAGGTTTGTTGACAACAATAATGGCTGGATCCTGAATTTGTAAATCCATGTAAAGTTTTGTGATTGAAGTGAGACAGAAAAACATAGATAACGATAGAAGAATTAAACACGAGGACCTTATACAATTCCAGGCTACGAATATAATTCACTTCTTCTTCAGTGCAAGGGCAATCCTTTTTCTCAGTAGGAAACTCCTGAATGGTAATGGGAAGAAAGATTCGATCTCCCACGTTCAATGAGTCCTTGGCTGTCACCTTTCAGTAATTTTAAAAGATCAGAAACATTTGATCGCCTAAGTTTGTGTCAGTAAATCAATATGAACTAGTATAACAGAACATACTATTACATATCATGTACACATGAAAGAATAAGCTAATTTAAATCAATAAGATTGTAAAAGCTTAATGGTTCCTCAAGTACCCTTTTCAGTTTTCTTTCTTGTATTTGACCACCATTGTCAGAACTGATGGATTCTCTTCGAACCTGCATACATGATATTCCATGAGAAACTTGTTTTACACTCAAAGCGCCTTTAAATGATCCTTCATTTCCAACAAGATTTTAATTGTTATAAACTAGAAATTCAAAAGTTACGACATTTCATTACATTTTCAAAAAAAATTCAAGAATCCAGAAACGATAATATCTCCCCCATCAGTTTTATTAAATTGATGCCAAAATCAAAATCTTAAAATTCTAAATTTCTTAGCTTACTCGAAACTGAATCTTAATGGTAGTAAACTTAAAGCAACAAGCTTCACCCTAGTAAAATATATAAATAAGAAGTAATGACAAACTTATATTTTTCATTAATAAAATAAACACTTTGAAATTAGGAAGCAATAACCTGTCTCAAGCGAAAGAGCTTTTGAATTAGATTTCTAGGCAACTGGGGACAGCACCGAATAACCCATTTAACCGCCGTCGTTTCAGAAGTGACGACGCTTGAGAAGCCCGCCAACTGCTTTCCCAAAGCTGAGCCATTTATGCTAGAACCGAAAGGAGGCAAAGTGAACCATTTGCCTCTCTTACCATTATCATCCTTATTTGTGGTGTAGTGTCGCTGGAACGCCGATATGGAGAGTCCAACGCCTCCGCGAGTGACTGAGCATAGTTGCAATCGGAGGAGGAGGAAGCGGCGGAGGAGGCTCGGATCCACCATTACCGTCAAGTTAGTGGAGGCTTTTCGGTTGTGCATCGTGCTCGCGCGTGTAATTACTTGAGAGGGATAAGAAGGGTTTTGTTACCGGCAATTTTGTTATGATACCGGTCAGCCGGTACATAAACTGCGTCCTTTAAATTATGGGCTTGGGCTTATTTTGTTTGGTTAAATATAGGCCCAATATATCTATTGTTTTTTACTAAATTTTGTGAGATTTAATTAACGCCGGTCCTACTGCCTTCTTTTTTTAAATTTTTTTATTTGATGATCGGGGTATTTGGGTCGACTTATACTTACATCAACTAATTTTTTAGGATCTGAGAATTACTGACTAAGTAAGAGTTTTAGTGGTCACCACTATTAGCAACTAAGGCGAGAATTGAATTCAGAACATCTTAAGTAATACACTTAAGGAGACGTTTGGTCCAGAGAATGTTAGATTACTAGAAATATTGGATTATTGGAAAGTTAGATTACCTTAAAGATTACTATGAATTTTTAGAAAAATGTGTTTGGTTAATTGATGGGTATGTTATATTAATATGTTTGGTTGAGAGGAATAAATTGGTGGGTATGTTTTTTAAATTACTGAATTGTCTTCTAATTAAATATTATTATTATATTATTTTTTAATATTGATTATTATAAACCCTCTGCATTTAAAAACTTAGCAAAAACAAGCCCATAATAAAATTTTGGAAAATCAACAAAGCACCCCTACCAACCCAGTCACTGATGGCCGTCGACAACCACTGCAGGCCGCCAACAGCTGGCAACCTAATGGCGCATGGAAGGCAGGAAATGGCCTCTGTGCATTGTATGGTCATTTCCGGCCAGAGATCTGATTGGAAATGGCCATACATGACAGATCTGGCCGTCAACGGTCATCGATCTAGCCGTTGAGCCGTTGACTGCTAGATGGACGGATCTGGTCAAAGTTTGGAAAATCAACAAAACACTCCCAGCAACCCAGCCATTGCCGGCAACCTAACGGCGCATGAAAGGCAAGAAATGACCTCCGTGCACTGTATGACCATTTCCAGCCAGAGATCTGGTTGGAAATGGCCATACGTGACAGATCTAGTTGGAAATGGCCATACGTGACAGATCTAGTTGGAAATGGCCAGACGTGACAGATCTGGCCGTCGACGGCCAGATCGATGGTCGTTAACAACCACGTCCGTGGCTGTCAACGACCATCGATCTAGCTAGAAATGGACATATCGGTGCACGAGGCCATTTTCAGCCTTCCGTGTGCCGTTTCGGCGGTGGTTGCCAATGGTAGGCAGCGGCAGGTGGGTGGGGGTGATGGCTTGGGTGGGTTGCAATTTATTTTGAATTCAAGGGTAATTTTGTCCAAAAAGTTAATTAATTGGGGTGAAATAGTAAAAGCCATATTCATGTAAATAAATTTTAAAATTAGAGAATTATTGTCCTAAAATTTTATTAATAAGGGATAGAATTGTAAAAAAAAAAAAGAGATTACCCTGGTAATCTTAGAATACCTAAGAAAATGGAAGTAATCAGATTACTTCTAACATTATCAACAGTAACTACTATTGATATTTGAAGATTACCAGAATCTTATATTATTTGACAATCAAATGTAGTAATCAAGTAATATAAGATGACATAACTCTAGTAATCCCATATTACCCCCAACCAAACGTCCCTTAAGAGTTCTTATCGCCTCACGGAATACAGAATGCAAAACTGTTGCACTCGTTTGTGTCCTTCCATCACCAATATGCCACTACTATCTCTGTCAAGTCTATGCACCTACAGAACACATATAAAAAGTAACCTAAAAATTCTGCAAAATTTGCATAAGTACTATATTACTCAAACTTTTACATATCCAGCAGAACTTTGACACCAGAAAAATCAAAAAAATGAGAAAACCCTGGACCAGAAGCTTAAGTACAGCGTAAAATTGATTATTTTACAGTGGCATCCTATAATCTGGGAAAATGTTTCTCAAAAACAAAACTGGGCGACCTAAAACAGAACTCCTATCAAAATTTTAAGAGTAAGATTAATTTTTCCAGCTTCGAAAAATAAATCACCATTAAGGTCCAAATCAACCATGAAAGCAACATACTATATTTTGAAATCAATCATATGGCGCTGAACAACTAAATACATTGTTGATAGCTTTAACATGACCTCATAGATCAAGAGTATACTATGTTGCATTTTTTAGCACGTTTCAGAGTGGGCAGAGGCATACATTGTTGCATCTCAGAGAAAGTGGGAAAAAGAATCAAAGCTTCTTATATTCTTATTTATAATGTGAATTGTTTATACTTGAGTCACTGGGAAACTCACAGCCGTGGCGGCTCTGAGTAATCATAAGTTAAAAGCAGCTGCCAACTCATCAAACTTCTTTTAATGCCAATGCCACCCTGTTTCAACATAAATTTCAGACAAATTATAATTATGACCACCAAAATAAAGTTCAGATAAAAAAAAAAAGAGACCAATATTGTAGCTTACTGAACAGGCATCCCAGGGGTTTGTTGACAACAATAATGGCTGGATCCTGAATTTGTAAATCCATGTAAAGTTTTGTGATTGAAGTGAGAAGAAAACATAGATAACGATAGAAGAATTAAACACGGGACCTTATACATTCCAGGCTACGAATATAATTCACTTCTTCTTCAGTGCAAGGGCAATCCTTTTCTCAGTAGGAAACTCCTGAATGGTAATGGGAAGAAAGATTCGATCTCCCACGTTCAATGAGTCCTTGGCTGTCACCTTTCAGTAATTTTAAAAGATCAGAAACATTTGATCGCCTAAGTTTGTGTCAGTAATCAATATGAACTAGATACAGAACATACTATCCATATCAGTTCTTTATATAAGTTCAACAAGTTACAGAGAATGAATAAAGCAGAAAGATCCATTAAACAAAATCCAAAATCAAAGGTAGAAAAGGAAAAAGATGCAGTAAGCAAATTCCAAATTAGAAACTCTTTTTTTAACACACCAAGTCCTTGAGAACTTTGTCCAACGTTAATTTGCATCTTTCATTCAAGATTCTTCCATAATAGAAACTACAACAGACAAATATCCAGTTCGCCACAATTATTAATTTTGAGAAAAGAATGGTTAGAAACTGATGAAACCTAACAAAAGATCTTATGCTGCTGAAATGGTTGTAAGCTAGGAGCAGAAATCAACAGAAGTTAAAACTGTATCTTATGAGTCATTCCTTTGAAAAATTTCCATATAATCCTAACACTCAATTTCAAAATTTTTTCCTATATGTTGCGGAAGAGGATACATCCTGAAGATAAATTCATTGCTCACTCAATCGTTTTAAGTGATGGGTGGCAGTGCTGGGGGCCTACTGTGTGGGATGCGTGTGTGCATATCCAGTGGTGCATGTGACTATGTGAGTTTGATGAAAACAAGAAAAATGGTGAAGGAGAATAGGGTAAGTAGACCACAAGGGAACTGAGATTGTATAGCAGCAGGTTTACTGTGATAGGTGCATGTGGCTTTGCCATACACATTAGTGCTACAGGTTTAAGTTAGATGTAGAACTCTAAAATATGAAACTTGAAGTTGAGAAAATTCTAAGAAACTACGAATAAGTTCTGCTTCAAGACTGGAAGATGGAAGCTTGCATGCAGATGACAGAAGGGAGATATCAAGTTTAAGATGTAGCCGGCCTTTACTGTTCAAAAATTGCATTTGGGTTGGGTGAGGTTTCAAGGTTTACAATAGGAGGAACCTACAACTGATTGAGCAGTGATGTAAACTGCTAGAAGAAGAATCAACTAATACAACTTGACTGGTCTGGATCAGGATAGTCAGGTTGCTTGATTATTTGGTTTTATGCCCATCCCTATCTGCAAGTTTGCACGATTATAGTTGTGGCTTAAGAATTCAAAAAATCCCAACTTCTTTGCATGTGTGAAGGCAAAGGTGCAACCAACTTCAGGGTTTCCAATTCTGAAAGATCGTAGTCTGAAGATAATTGCACAGTTTGCAAAGCCTGAGACACATTGGGTAAAAACATTTCCTTACAGTGAAGATGCAGGTGAGGGTGCTTTCCAAAGATGCTTCCGTTCTCCAAATCAAGGCCAAAGGGAAGAGCTTTTTCCTTCGAAACCTTCTCATTTAAGTTCTTAATAAGATCAGATGGATGCAACTGTTTCCACTTCCGATGAGCTTGCCACCCATATTTGTAGTCTCCAACTATAGGTGTCCCCAGCACCTCAGCGCAGTGTACACGGAGCTGTGGCACCCAAACATGATTAAAATAGGATTTGAACAGGGTGAAAAATCAGTATGGAACAAAGAGATAAAGATGCACTCAAATTTCGACATAGTATTTGGTTATGATATATACCTGATGCTTTCTACCTGTAAGAGGAGACAACTCTAACCACGTGTAACCTGCATTATGACCACAAGAATACGATGCATAAACAAACGACAAAAGTTATATTGCAAAACAATTTCCCTAAGAACACTCAAGATAGTCAAAAAAGTTGAATTAACATTATTTCAAGCAGGAAATTTGAGGCCAGATGTACAAAAATATTAGTGCATTAGAAATTCATAGCCAAAATTACTGGACAAGTTCTTTATTAATACTTCTACTCATCTGTTGAAGGTCACCCATATTCTTCAACATGCATATAAGTTAGGATGCTCTTCTTATCACCAAAAGAGCCAGAACCAGATACTCAGATTTATATTTCATATTTCATATTGGAAGTAAATGTGAGGTGAAGTACTATGCTAACCATGAGACGATTCAATCACTCTGTACTCTGTTATTGCATGCTGTGATGTCATATTTTGAGTGTTGTTGACAATGGTGATTCGATCAGACTTTCCATTGTCCACCACAACCTGATGGTCACTAAAATCAGAGTTAACATTTTAGGGGAAGCCAACCAACATACCAGGCAAAATCACAAGGCATCATAATCTATTGCAGTTTAGCTCAATTTGCAACTTGTAAATTCGATATATCTCTCCTCTCTCATGCACACACAACATATAGCAAACTGAGTCCACACAAGTCAGTACATTAAAACACTTCAAGTTTGTAAATTTTGGACAAGCATTCCAATCAAGGGTATACTAACCTTTCCCAATGGTGCTGATATCAAACCCTTTGAGCGTCTTGGAGATCCAATGACAAGGGCCCAATACCATCTTTGCAGGATTCTTTTTTCATTGTCAATGTCCTAATAAGATAACAAGATACATGGAATTTATCCCAGAGCTAATATGATGCATATATCATGAATATGGAAGGCTTGTAACGGAAAGCGAGTACTTGCTAAAAGAGAAGACATTTACATCTTTTGATGCACCAATAGTTTTCTCACGGAATACAGAATGCAAAACTGTTGCACTCGTTTGTGTCCTTCCCATCACCAATATGCCACTACTATCTCTGTCAAGTCTATGCACCTACAGAACACATATAAAAAGTAACCTAAAAAATTCTGCAAAATTTGCATAAGTACCTATATTACTCAATCATTTACATTATCCAGCATGAACTTTTGACACCCAGAAAAATCAACAAAATGAGAAAACCCTGGACCAGAAGCTTAAGATACAGCGTAAAATTGATTATATTTACAGTGGCATCCTATAATCTGGGAAAATGTTTCTCAAAAACAAAACTGGGCGACCTAAAACAGAACTCCTATCAAAATTTTAAGAGTAAGATTAATTTTTCCAGCTTCTGAAAAAATAAATCACCATTAAGGTCCAAATCAACCATGAAAGCAACATGCTATTATTTTGAAGATTCAATCATATGGCTGCTGAACAACTAAATACATTGTTGATAGCTTTACCATGACCTCATAGATCAACGAGTATACTACTGTTGCATTTTTTAGCACGTTTCAGAGTGGGCAGAGGCATACATTGTTGCATCTCAGAGAAAGTGGGAAAAAGAATCAAAGCTTTCTTATATTCTTATTTATAATGTGAATTGTTTATACTTGAGTCACTGGGAAACTCACCAGCCGTGGCGGCTCTGAGTAATCATAAGTTAAATAGGCAGCTGCCAACTCATCAAAACTTCTTTTAATGCCAATGCCACCCTGTTTCAACATAAATTTCAGACAAATTATAATTATGACCACCAAAATAAAGTTCAGATAAAAAAAAAAAAGAGACCAATATTTGTTAGCTTACCTGAACAGGCATCCCAGGAGGTTTGTTGACAACAATAATGGCTGGATCCTGAATTTGTAAATCCATGTAAAGTTTTGTGATTGAAGTGAGACAGAAAAACATAGATAACGATAGAAGAATTAAACACGAGGACCTTATACAATTCCAGGCTACGAATATAATTCACTTCTTCTTCAGTGCAAGGGCAATCCTTTTTCTCAGTAGGAAACTCCTGAATGGTAATGGGAAGAAAGATTCGATCTCCCACGTTCAATGAGTCCTTGGCTGTCACCTTTCAGTAATTTTAAAAGATCAGAAACATTTGATCGCCTAAGTTTGTGTCAGTAAATCAATATGAACTAGTATAACAGAACATACTATTACATATCATGTACACATGAAAGAATAAGCTAATTTAAATCAATAAGATTGTAAAAGCTTAATGGTTCCTCAAGTACCCTTTTCAGTTTTCTTTCTTGTATTTGACCACCATTGTCAGAACTGATGGATTCTCTTCGAACCTGCATACATGATATTCCATGAGAAACTTGTTTTACACTCAAAGCGCCTTTAAATGATCCTTCATTTCCAACAAGATTTTAATTGTTATAAACTAGAAATTCAAAAGTTACGACATTTCATTACATTTTCAAAAAAAATTCAAGAATCCAGAAACGATAATATCTCCCCCATCAGTTTTATTAAATTGATGCCAAAATCAAAATCTTAAAATTCTAAATTTCTTAGCTTACTCGAAACTGAATCTTAATGGTAGTAAACTTAAAGCAACAAGCTTCACCCTAGTAAAATATATAAATAAGAAGTAATGACAAACTTATATTTTTCATTAATAAAATAAACACTTTGAAATTAGGAAGCAATAACCTGTCTCAAGCGAAAGAGCTTTTGAATTAGATTTCTAGGCAACTGGGGACAGCACCGAATAACCCATTTAACCGCCGTCGTTTCAGAAGTGACGACGCTTGAGAAGCCCGCCAACTGCTTTCCCAAAGCTGAGCCATTTATGCTAGAACCGAAAGGAGGCAAAGTGAACCATTTGCCTCTCTTACCATTATCATCCTTATTTGTGGTGTAGTGTCGCTGGAACGCCGATATGGAGAGTCCAACGCCTCCGCGAGTGACTGAGCATAGTTGCAATCGGAGGAGGAGGAAGCGGCGGAGGAGGCTCGGATCCACCATTACCGTCAAGTTAGTGGAGGCTTTTCGGTTGTGCATCGTGCTCGCGCGTGTAATTACTTGAGAGGGATAAGAAGGGTTTTGTTACCGGCAATTTTGTTATGATACCGGTCAGCCGGTACATAAACTGCGTCCTTTAAATTATGGGCTTGGGCTTATTTTGTTTGGTTAAATATAGGCCCAATATATCTATTGTTTTTTACTAAATTTTGTGAGATTTAATTAACGTCGGTCCTACAGCCTTTTTTTTTTTTTTTTATTTGATGATCGGGGTGTTTGAGCCAACTTATGCTTACATCAACTAATTTTTCAGGATCTAAGAATTATCGACTAAGTAAGAGTTCTAGTGGTTATCCCTATTAGCTTCTAGTGGTTATCCCTATTAGCAACTGAGGTAAGAATTGAATTCAGAACATCTTAAGTAATATACCTAAGAGGGTGTTTGGTTCAGGGAATGTTGGATTACTGAGAATATTGGATTACTGGAAAGTTAGATTACCTTGAAGATTACTGGGAATCTTTAGAAAAATGTGTTTGGTTAATTGATGGGTATGTTATATTAATATGTTTGGTTGAGAGGAATAAATTGGTGAGTATGTTTTTTAAATTATTGAATTATCCTCTAATTAAATATTATTATTATATTATTTTTTAATATTGATTATTATAAACCCCTTACATTTAAAAACTTAGCAAAAACAAGCCTATAATAAAAGTTTGGAAAATTAACAAAGCACCCCCACCAACCCAGCCATTGCCGGTCGTTGGCAACCATCGCAGGCCGCCAGCAGTCGGTAACCTAATGGTGCATGGAAGGCAGGAAATGGTCTCCGTGCATTGTATGGCCATTTCTGGCCAGAGATTTGGCCGGAAATGGCCATATGTGACTGATATGGCCGTTGACTGCCGGATGGACGGATCTGGCCAAAGTTTGGAAAATCAACAAAGCACCCCCAACAACCCAGCCACTGCCGGCAACCTAACGGCACATGGAAGGCAGGAAATGACCTCCGTGCACCGTATGGCCATTTCCGGCCAAAGATCTGGTCGAAAATAGCCAGAAGTGATAGATTTGGTTGGAAATGGCCAGACGTGACAGATCTGGTCGTCAACAACCAGGTCTAATTTGGCAGTCAACAGCCAGATCGATGGTCATTAACAACCACATTTGTGGCCATCAACGGCCATCGATCTGGTTGGAAATGGACATATCGGTGCACGACGATCATTTTTATTTGTGAGCCGTTCCCGCAATGGTGGCGGCTGGCTGCGGTGGTGGTTGCCGGTGGCAGGTGGGTGGGGGTAGTAGCTTGGGTGGGTTGCAATTTGTTTTGAATTAAAGGGTAATTTTGTCTAAAAAGTTAATTAATTGGGGTAAAATAGTAAAAGTTATATTCATGTAAATAAATTTTAAAATAAAAGCATTATTGTCCTAAAATTTTATTAATAAAGAATAGAATTGTAAAAAAAAAAAAAAAAAAAAAAAAAAAGATTACTTGGTAATCTTAGAATACCTAAAAAAATGAGATAATCAATTATTTTCAATATTACCACAGTAACTATTATTGGTATTTGAAGATTACCGGAATCTTATATTACTTGACAACCAAACTGGTAATTAAGTAATATAAAATGATATAACTCTAGTAATCTCATATTACCTTCAACCAAACATCCCCTAAGAGTTCTTATCGAACTATTCGACCACCTAAGGTTGGTTGCCTATTGCTTTTTTTAGACTTCAAGAGAGTTTGTTGTTCATTAAAAATAAAATAAAACTGAGATTCATTCTAAGAATTATAAAATGAAATACAACTTAAAACGGAAAATATAAAATCGTTGAGCAATATTTGTCAATTAGGGATAAGTTTATTAATTTAATATAATTTTAAGAAAATTAAGGGAGTGAAAATAACAATTTAATATACATACTGAAAAAGCGAGTGAGTGAAGTCAAATCTATAAATATTAACCAATATACAACCTGATCAAAACAAAAACTAAGTAAGTTTAGGACAAAACGTTTTATAAATTTATTAAGAAAAGGTATAATGTTATTCCTGTTATTATATTAAATATTTTTTGACATAACTTTAAATTATCATAGTAGTGTAGAGAGATTGCTCACAGTAGAGATGTGTGGTTTAAATTTGTAAAGTAAAATTAAGAATATTAAATGTAAAAATGATTTTCTTTGCTGAATTGTTTATAAAATGTTGCATTTCAACAAGATATTTATTGAATCAAATATTGACTTACATTATCGTCAAGCCTTAGAAAAAAGTTAAAGAAGAAATACAGCAAGCTAAATATTATATTAGAAATTCTAAGGGGTTGGTTTGACGGTTAAGGAGGTTTGTTCCATTCCTTGAGTTCTTGGATTCAAACCTTGGGGTCACCTACCACAATAACATTGTGACTAACCTGGTCTTGTGGATTTGTAGGGTTTTTAATAAACCCTAAAGATTAGTTGAGATGTACACAAACTGACCAAACACCTTGATTATCGAAAAAAATATTATATCAAAATAACTCTGAAGAAGGAAGGAGTTCACAAGAGAACTACCGTATGATAAATGAATACTTGAAGAAATCCATAAACAATAACGGTGTCAATCAGCGGTGAAAGCGGCTGAAATATAAATGTTGTTGGCCACCGGAGGCCTGACCAAAGTATTGAGTTGGACGACTTCTTGACCTATGTCCAGGGCCTCTCGGGCTTGGCCCGGAATGCTTCACTGCTACCAGAGAAAATCTTTCCAATGAATCATCAATCATCATCTCTTTCAAGGACGACCCAGCTTCTGATTCAAAGAAAATGGAGCTCAACATTAGGAGAAGAATAATGAGATACTTGAGCTCTCTACCCATTTTACAGGGTAAACAACAGCGAAGATAAGAAAAGAGAGTTGGAGATTAGGGTATCTCTTATTCATATATAAATATGCCATGCACGCAAGTAACTAGGTGCATTTAATTTATATCATTTCTTTAACTCTAAGGGGCGGGGCAATGATTTGTTAGGCAATGCGTTGAAAAGAGCACAATGAGTCGTACAAATTGGTAGTTGAAACTTGAAAAAAGAAATATAATGTAACCTTCAATTATGAAGTTTAACAATAAGATAAATTAAGAATTTGATTAATTTTTATTTGTTATAAGGTTAAAAATCTTGTGTAATAACAAAAAGTGCGTTTTTTTTAAATGATTGGAGTATTCGGATAAACTTTCATTCACTTTAATTAATCTTTTGAGACTTTAGAATTATTGAGTAAGTATTTTGATGATTACCCTAGTGAAATTACCAATCAGATAAGTATTCTAATAACTACTTCTATTAGTAATCGATAAAAAATTTGAACTTATGATCTTTAAAATAATACATCGAAAAATCCCTATCAAATTGTTCAATTATTCAAAGATAGTTAACACAAAGGTTTTCGTTCATGAATGAGTTGAATTCGAAATATTTCACTTAAGATTTTATTGCCCAAAAGCTATACTTTTTGTTTAAACAATTTAACATCTTAATTTGTCTATTCTAGCATTCGGGTTGTTTTCCTTTATTGTGTTTGACAAAGTTAGCAAGAATAGTAACGATTGCTTGCCTGCATTAATTAACTTAAAAGATTGTCGGCAATTTCTCGGGAAAATGAGAGATGTAAAGTTTCAAAGAAAAAGGTTAACGATTTATTAAGAAAGATAGATAGTGGGAAATTGTTTGGCTAGAAATGGAGGATTCTGATGCAACTTTTAAAAGATTAAAATATTGGGATCATAAAAGATCCATTGACCAAACAATGCGTAAAACAAAATTAACCTTAACCAAGTTCATAACTGATGTTGGAGCCAGAAACAATGGCCTTGTTTCAAGCTTTGTTTCCCTCTCTTACTCATATATTCCGTAAACTCACGTTAATAATAGTAATAATAATAATAATAATAATAATAATAAAAAGAAACAAATATTACCATGTGAATATCCTCGAGTTACGCACGCAAATCGTGCGGTAAATGTTGGGAGACCAGTGCAATGGAAACTCACCACTCTCTGTTCATATTGGAAAATGGACTGTTCACTGTTCAGCAGTTTTATTTAGTTACTTGAATATTTTGCCAAAGGTTTTGCTCTTTTAACAATTGTTTCATCGATCATTTTTTAAGCATTCTCGATGACATAAACCTAAATATTCATTGTCATTGTAACAGTATGAAAACCCCCCCAACAACAACAACAACGACAAAAAAAAAAAAAGATTATCCTTGTAATGAAAATGATATTATCCTACTTTGTTTTAACTTTCACGTAACATTAAATAATCATTTCGTGGGAGTATACTGTCGATACGAAGCTGTTATCACAAATCAAGGCAGAATTTGAAGTCTTGACGTCGAAGAAATCCTGAAAAAGTCGCAAAGCATAATTATTCAACAACTTGCCACAGTGATGCCAAATTGCCAATATTATTGTCTGATGTGGATGAACACCAATGAAATTAACAGATATTTGGCACTTATCCAGATTCAAGTTAGGTCGTAAAGCACATGCGAAAGTTAAATTTAATTGTAACAGTGAGTTAGCTAGCTTCAGACTTGAGTAATGATGGTTACTGACTGGTCTTGGCAAATTAATTTTAGTTTGATTAGATTTTCTGAATGTGATGGCAGATAGTTTATTTATATATTTTTTTTAAGGTGACAGCTTTTTCTAGTTCTACGTCAAACCACGTGATCACCTTAATTTTTGATCACATTGGCATAGCAATTGCCAACTCTTTTCGAGTGGTAAACAGTTTAATAGTCTAAAATTGTGTCTATTTTGTAAAAATAAATTTACTTTTTTGGATTAGAAAAGTATTTAGAATATACATTCCTCCAAATTCCTTTTCACATTTACTGGATTGCATAATTGTTGAATCTAAAAGTCAAATATGTCACAAATAAAGTATAAAATAAAAGATAGAACATAATAATATATCCTGTTTCGTTCATTTTTTAAGGAATTATGTCCAATATTCAAATAGAGTGATCTTATTAAGAATCAGAATACTATAAAAACACAAAGATAAATAGTATCGACAACTCTCTCTCTCTCTCTCTATTTTACTGTATATTAGGTTTTTCACTATTACTAAAAATAC